ATTTATCTGTTAAGTGTAATTATATTTACATAAGCCGTTATGAAGGCTACTTAACTGGGATCTGAAATATGCTTCCTACGTCACAGCAAATGCTTCCTAAAGCAAGGTCATCAATACTGTAAATTAATAATAGTTAGCCAAGATAGCTTAGCCCATAAAGCGATGGGCTACGAGCTGGAAGGCCGATGTTCGATTCCTAGCAAACGCATGCGATTTTTCCCCTCTCCACGGTGTCCAGACCGGCTCTGGGATGAAACCAGCTTCGTGTCCAATGGGTACAGGGAGCTCTTTCCCCAGGGATAAAGCGGCAGAGGAGTGAAGTTAACCACTTAAATCCATCTAGTGCCGAGGCCAAGAATGGTGGAACTATACCTCAACTCCCCTACATGTTTTCATGGCATAATGTTTAATTAATTAACGAGAGGCCGATCACAGTGGCCGCGCGGACTAAGGCGTGAACCGTCTTCGGCCGCTAAAGCACTGGGATCGTCGGTTCGAATCTCGCTCAAGACATGGATGTCTGTGTGTGCGTTTATTCTATGCTTGTGTTGTTCTGCGTGTAGATAACGGCTTTGCGACGGGCTGATCCCCCATCCAAGGAGTCCTACCGACTGTGTATAGATTAAGAAACTGAAAAAGCGGCCAAGGTCCAAAGGGTTGTAGAGCCACAGACCTATACAAATAACGGCAGTGTACTCCAGTTTGCAGTGCGAGTTTCCGAATCAGTAATAAGCGATTCTGCGTTCTCAATTGTATTGATGTTCACTTACTGCTGACAACACCGCTCGCCTCTGTTAGTTATATTCTGACTTCCGTGCGTATCTGTCACTTCAGCGTACGAAATCTGCGAGTTCTGAGTTCTGTCGTGTGACATTATGCAGAGGAACTGCTTTTGGGAATGTAACTTGATTTATGTTTGGGCTTCATGGATCCCAGAGAAAGGTTCTCGTAACACCGTGTTACCTTCCGGGATGTGACGCCGTGCAGTCAGGCAAAAGCTTTTGTAGGAACGAACTACAGCCTACTACGTGGTTCATGTTGGATGCTTGCGCTGCATACTTTTCAACTGTGAAGACGGAGGTACTGATATTTCGAAGCGTCTGTGGACTTTTGTCGGACTATGCGGTGCCACATTCCGAAAGGCAGTATCCTTCGCTGTCACTGCTTTGAGGAGGAGGCCCTTACATTTGCCAGCACCACTACAAGACATGCAAGTACAGGTCTTACAAAATAACTGCATGGAGCTGAGCCCTTCTTGAGAAGCCCAAGTGGCTCAGCCACTGGAGAATTTTCAAACATTTTGTGGAACCCGAAGGTTCATTACAGTGTTCACAAGAGCCCTCCACTGGTCCCTATCCTGAGCCAGATCAACCCACTCCATATCACACCATCTACGTCTAGATCTTCCTAGTGGTCTCATTCCTTCTGACTTTCTCAGCAAAATCCTATATGCATTCTTCTTCTTCTTCTCCTCCTCCCCCCCCCATTCGTGCTACATACCCTGCCCATATCATCCTTCTTGACTTGATCATTCTAATTATACTTGGAGAAGAGTACAAGTTATGAAGCTCCTCATTACGCAGTTTTCTCCAGCCTCCTGTCACTTCATCCCTCCTCGGTCCAAATATTCTCATCAACACCCTGTTCTCAAATACCCTCAGTCTATGTTCCTCCCTTAATGTGAGAAATCAAGGTTCACACACATACAGAACCACAATTAAAATTATACCCGAACTCAAGTCTCCTCTTAATTTCCTCCTGAATCCAACTCCAATTTGCTACTGCCGTTCCCAAACATCTGACCCGTGCCACATTTTCAAAGCATCTGTTATGATTCTGCCCTGCATTCTGGCGAGCAAGTGTGGACCTAAACGGTTCACATCCATGTCACACCCGAGGAAAGAGTGTCAAGCTTAGGCAGATTGGGCCGGTTCGAACAGAGTAGCATCCCAGCCATCCGGGCCAGACCCGACGTTAGCAACCCCTGTACTGACTGAGCTATCACGGAGTTGGATGTAGCGTATTGATTGATAGGTTATTTAAAGACTCTCTTTCAACTACAGAGTTTATAAGCTACACTGTGTGTCTAAAGCATTTCTTAGCGTGCGTCACCACCAGATGCTGACGTCACTATATTTCAATACGAGAACCCAAATCACCGCACCGGAAATCTCGTGAGCTCACAGGGACGTTTCTTCCGGAAGATTGCCTAAGCAAGGTACAGACGCTTCAGGCGAAGTGTAGTCTAATGAGTGAACGGGTAGCGATTTGTAAGGATGCGGTACTACTGTAGCCCACGGCACTAGAGACATTCACATAGCGATACTGAGGAAAATCAAGAAAATCCCAATCAGGATAGCGGGAGCCAATCACACATTTGGAGTGTATATCTGCCGAATATATATAATGATGAGCAGGGCACGTAGCATGAATTTGGAGAAGAGGAATGTATATAGGATATTGGTGGGGAAAGCCAGAGGCAAAGAGTCCACCAGGAAGACCAACACGTAGGTAAGTGGATAATATTAAAATGCATCTTAGATAGGATGTGGTGGTATGGATTGGATTGATCTGGCTCGGGAATGGGACCAGCGGATGGCTCTTGTGAACACGGTAATGAACCTTTGGCTTCCATAAAATGTTGGAAAATTATTCAGTAGCTACATAATTGGGGGCGTCTCAAGAAGGGCTCAGTTCCATAAAGTTGGTAATATTTTCCGGATTGAGTTAAGTCAGTATTACAGGCTGGAGGACTGGGGTTCGATTCTAAGCAGCGGAAATGACTATTATCTTCGCCACTGAGCCAAGGCCGATTCCGAGGCCCACCCATCCTCCTGCACAAAGGAGACCGTGGACGATTCCCCTGGGGAAAGACGATCGAAGCGTGATGCTAACCACTCACTTCCATCGATGTCGAAATCACGCCTATGAAAGCAGAGATATGCTTCCACTCCAGACGTCTTCATGATTGCCCTTGTGCAGTCTTAACCTCGGCACCAGATGCAGGTGAGCGGTCAGCTTCACCCCCGGTACTCATTGGATAGGTGGCTGGGTGGACCTCAGACCCGATCTAGACGCTGTGTCAGGAATCGAACCTCGGCCGTCCCAATACCGACTCTGTGCGTCTTTATTGTGTGGTTCTTAATTACATATGTATCTCGGGAATAAACGCTTACGGGGGTGCATGCACACCCAGCAAAGTCCTTCCCTGAACTGGGTCTATTCGGCCCGTGGACAATCGTTTTTATGGCCCTGGCATGCTTTATCTTGAACAACTAAACTAACTGCAAAACGGTGTGGCCAAGCAACCACTTTGTGGTTCTCCTGACATATCATCGCGTGGCGCCAAGAAGGGGCCCATTTTTGTGGGGTTCAATGAAAGCCGGCAACGGAGAGAGTCGCTTTCAGACACGCTTTCAGACAGACACCCAGATTAGCACGGTACTGGCCCGGTTATCCGGATGTCTTGTTTGGAGGACGGACTCGAATGTCCAGTGTAAACACACAAACTTCGTCTGAAACTGCTTTCTAAAAAGGAATAAGCACAAACCTCTCACCTCAACCTAGTAGCGGGGTCAAGAATAGTGGAGTTATACCTCCAATGTCCCTTATGTCTTCATTGCAAGTAAAAGTTGTCCCTGTGTTCAATTAATTAAGCACTACGTCATGAAGACGTATGGAAGAGTGGATGTATAGATCCACAATTCTTGACCTCGCGCAACAGATGGAGGTGAGTGGTCAGCCTCACGCCCCGGCCGCTTTACTGCTGGAGAAAGAGCGCCCGCTGCCCATTGGTAGGCCCCAGAGCCGGCCTGGACGCTGTGCAGAAGATAAAAATCTCGTCCCAGCCGGGATTTGAAACTCCGCCCATCCGACGCGCCACTATACCGACTGCAAGTGCTCATGCCGCAGTGCATAATTAAGCATTTGGGGTTCTACTTTTACAAAGACAAAACAAAGGACAATAGCGTTCAATTAAGTTAATAAGATACTGTGCAGGACGTGAGGTTATGTCTTCTGGGATTAATGCCCTGTAGTCCCTTGAAAGTCATTCGACATTTCGGGGGATCTGCTTTCACACAGGTACCTTGTTCGGCATATTCGACCCTGGAGATGGAGCCGATGTTCCTCCGAAACGTCGGTTGACTTTCAACGGGCTACACGGCGTTATAACCTAGAGCAGTGGTTTTCAGCCTTTCTCAGGCCACGGCCCGGCGGTTGAGAAACACTGACCTAGAAGAAGATGAGCTACTACCATGTTCCTTTCGCTGATCTTCCACGGTGCGCAATTATCCGGGGAAACTGATTTCACATCCAGCGCGTATAATCAGGGGCCTATTGCATTTAGTTCATCGGCTACTAGTGGGAAATTTCAGAACTGATTCTTACTTGGAATTGTTTGGGACAACAACAAAACCAAGCTGTTGCGTTGTAAAGCAAAAAATTCTCGGAAGAACTTGTGACATGCCTACGTCTGCACAGAGATACCACCAGAAACTAAACATCCATAATTATGCAATTTAGCGATACATTTCTGTACACAGTTTCTATTTCCACGCATCAGCGTTTCTTAGCCGGCACGCGGCGACATATTGGATAAAAATGCTTTTATGTAATTCTTAAACATTCCATGTACGTTATTACACAAACCCCTTCGTATCAATTACCTGTACAGTGAAATTCATACGCCTGCTTGCAGTTCAGGTGAGCCGGGATAGCGACTGGATACGGGCTGGGCGGCTGAGGGACCGGAGTTCAAGTCTCGGTAGGGGCAACATTTTTCTACTCTCCACGCCGTCCACACCGGTTCTGAGACCCACTCAACCTCATATCCACTGGGCACAGGGAGATCATAATCAGGGTGTAAAGCGGCCTTGCGTGAAACTCACCACTCACCTCTATTTAAAGGTCAAGAATACGTGGATCTATTCATTCACTCCACCATACATCTTCATGGGCAGTGCTTCATTAGGTATGTAAATGCTGATTATAATACTCACCTTCGTACATCTGGGCATACTGTGGGAAACCTGCGGCCCGCAACCACTTGCATGCCTCTGCAGCCTCGATTTCTGCAACACAAAAAAAAATACTCAGCATCAGTTAAGAAATAAAAAAGTACGTAACTCCAGTGAACAAAATTCTTCAGACGCTAACAGCCGCTCAGCTTGTCAAGATTCCCAGACTGAACTCAGTTATTCCCTACCGTGGTCTCAACAGCCCTCCCTATCCATCACACAGTATTTCTTGAAGATTCATTTTAATATTATCTTACACGTAATCATCCTTTTCTACAGCTTTCCAGCTTAAATTCGCCAAGTATTTTATATATCTCGTATGCGTTTTATATTACCAGCCTATCCCTTTGAGAATTAAGAAAGTTTAATGACAGCATTTCGAGCCGGGATAGCTCAGTCAGTATAGTGATGGGCTACGACCGGGATTCGATTCCCGTCAGGCGCAAGAGGCTTTCCTCTACTCATCAGCGTCCAGATCGGCTATGGGACCCACACAGGCTGGTACTCAATCGGTATTGAGGGGGGTGGGGGGGCGACTGACTAACGTCAAGAATGGTGGAGTTATACCTCCACACCCCATGTCTCCGTGGCGTCGTGCTGAATTAATTAAGCACCAAAATAACTTTACCTCAATCACAGCATTCGTCCAGTGAAGTCAATTAACGAGATGGACGCATACAGAGCGTGTAGAAATTATACATTTTTCGGGTACTTTGGACGAACCGGGTCAGATGGACGCATTAATCGTGTGAATCCACCAAGTTCACGTTTAGTCTTCGAAGTGCACGGCGTGTAATTGCATAAGGAAATGATTAGAAACTATTATGACCCCTTAATCTGGTGCGCTGACATTAGATGTCACCTGAGTAAAGTAAAGGCAAAGTTGTCCCTGTACCGTGAAGGCGTACGGGGAGTGGAGGCACAAATCAACCACAGTTGACGTTGGCACTAGATGGAAGTGGGTGGTCAGTTTCACGCCACGGCCGTTTTACTCCCGCTGAAACAGCTCACGGTAGCCATTGGATAGGAGGCTGAGTGGGTCCCAGAGTAAGTCTAGACTTTGTGGAGAACTGAAAAATCTCTTGCCCCTGCCGGGACTCAAACCCCCACCGTTCAGCTCGTGACTCGTGTCAATACCGACTGAGCTATCCCGGCTCACAGACTCAATACAAGAATAAAGAAAACGATTACACTTTTCTGGGATATGACGCTGTGTAGTTCATATAATGGCACGAAAAGTTTGGAGGATCACAATACTTCCATCTTGAATGTAAGCTACACGGCGTCATATTCTAGAAGATTATATATACTGATATTCGGCGCTGTGAGAACCTCAAATCTCGTATGGCAGTACGGTTGCCTCTGCATATGAACAGTGCCATAAAGAAGACTTGTGGAGATAATGCTCCATATATTGCAGACGGAGTTAAAGCAGCCAGCTTCACGCTCCGGCCGCTTTACAGCCGCGAAAATATGATCCGGAATCCCTCTGTAGGAGGATCTGTGGGTACCATAGCCTCTGCCTCTGACAGAATGTTTAAAGCTCCGGCCGCATTCGCGTACAGTCGAGTTGCAAAGACTTCCTACCAGAAGGTCCTCGAAAATTTCCCAGCGGGAGCTCAAACTACATACGGAAAAAAAAGGATACTTCAACACCTTTACTCGACAGAGCTGTCATCTGCAGGCCTCGTCGGAAATTCAATTCCCCACATTCTATTCACGAACCAATGCCGGATCATCCACGAGGCTTCCGGTGATGCTGGAGTCGCTGTTGAGATTGCAGAGTTCGTGAGGTGTACGAAAGCATGAACAGATTCTCTGCCTGCGACAGCTCCCCCCGACCGCCTCTTTCAGCTTAACGTCGCGACATAGTAGTCCGAACCCATCATCAACATGGATTTTTTCTTCCTTGGCACTACAGCCCCAGTGGACCTAAGCCCACCTCCATGACCTTCTCCGTTCACTTCGGTTTTTCTAGATCTTACACATTCGGTAGGACTCCTTATCATATTCGTATTCAAGCAAAGTCTCGTCACCTCCACCCTGAAGGAGACAGTATGTCCCTCCGAAACGTCTGTAGCCACCCACTGGGCTACACAGAGCCACAATCCAGAAGACCAGAGCACGAATCTTCGCTTGTGTTGAAGTAAAGTCCTGTGGGCCTTATACCCCATAAGCACCACCGTCAGAACCTCAAACCTTACATCGTTTAATCTTACGAATTCAATCGTTTGATTTCTAGATAAGACACGCGAAAACATATTTCATCGCTAGTTTCAAAATGTTAAGTGCCTACGTGACTTCCTTTTCAACTGCAAAGCAAAATGAAACTATTCCGGGGGACGCGCAGGCAGCCACTAACCGACGGCGCCAAGTTTATGGCCGGTCCATTCCAAACACTTGCCACTTGTTTCCGATACCCAACAACCTTGGCCATCAGCACTGATAGTATCAGCACAACTAAAACAAATTCCAGCTTTCACAAAACCCAACAAATTCTCTTGGCTTGTTTGCACAGGATCCCTACTAAGGCCACAAAGGAGAAGGCAGACAGCGTCAGTAAAACGACATTGCCTGTATGACTCCCCTTGAAGAACGGCTTCAACCAGAGACCAAACTGGCTGGCAGATCAAGAGTGGATATTCGGTGTAGGCTCTAGATTCCAGAGTCAGCCCGACGTCTGTGTGCTCCAGACATCCTAACATGGTGTCATGACAATACTCTGGATACGAAGTTCTTACCTTCGCGGAGTACAGCGTGTTGAGACGCTAACCGTCGCTCACATACTCATGAAAATCGCAGTCCTATTACGAAATCAGAGCCGATCAGTGATCGCGCGGTCTAAGGCATGAACTGCCTTCGCTCGCTCTAACAGTGGAATCGTGGGTTCCAATCCCAGTCGAGGCGAGTTTGTTTTGTTCTGTGTGTAGGTAGCGGCCTTGCGACGGGCTGATCCCCCGCCCAAGGAGTCCCACCGTCTGTGTAAGAAAGATTACGAAACTGAAGAAGAGGCCAGAGCCCAACAAAGGGCTGTAGTGCCACTGATGAATCAATCAATAAAATTATGAAACCAAGAAGTTAATTACACTGCCCACAAGAGCCCGTCACCGTTCCCTACAACGAACCACATGAATCCGGTCCACATTCAACTATAAAATATACTTTTATACGGTTTTGCTATCTACTCCAAGGTCTTCCTTCAGGATTTCCGACTAATATTCTGTGTCCATTTTTCATTTCCTCTACACATACTGTATGCCGGTAGAAGTGGCCCCGCGGCCTAAGACATGAACTGTCTCAATTAGCTTGCTTGAACGCTGGGATCGTGGGTTCGAATCCCACTCATGGCATGAATGTTTGCGTTTATTCTGTGTTCTGTGTACGTAGCAGCCTTGCGACGGGCTGATCCTCCGCCCAAGAAGTCCTATATTATGAAGCTGAAGTGAAATGAAGTGTTACACCGATGCCCCATGCTCCAAATGGGCGCAACAGGGAGGGAGGGAGGGAGGGAGG